GCTGAGGGAGGAGGCGCAAATACGGTACCTTTAGCTGGTCAGAGCATATTAACACAGAGAAACCCCAAAGGCACAACAGCCCGGTGATGGGCGCCATCCTCTGCTCTGAGCTCCCTGTCTGGGTGCTGTAGCGGTGTCATGGTGGTGACACGGGGTGCCAGCATCCTGACAGCAGCTCCAACACTCTTTGCTGTCCTTATTCAGTGCTGCTGAAAGTAACTGGGTATTTTTGATGTGTGCCAGCTGGCCTGTCCCCTGCAGAAAGGTGTCTCGGCCCTGGAGCTGGCAGTGGCATGGATGAACCAGAGGAGCAGAGCCAAATGGTGCTCCCGCTGTCCTTTCATGGTGAGGAGGAAATGACACCAAAGCCTCCATAAGGTGAAATGGTGAAGCAGTTTTATTTGAGATTACTACCATTTCATGGGATATCTCCTGTTGCTAAAGGAGTGACACCTGCCTCCACGTTTGCAGACTGGTGATACTTACTGTATCCAGAGAATATGCATGAGAGAGCAGGGCAGCTGTGGAATGGCTGGTTTCTAACACCATCCTCCAGACAATAGAGTGACACAGTTGGGTTAAGACCCCTGTTTACATTCATAACAGCTTTTGTGAGTATTGCTCACTGACAGTCCCACCATCAGGCAGTCATTTACTTCCTGGAAAACCCTGCCAGACTAAAAGACAACACATCACATCCCCAGCCCTTCCTGCCCAGCCTCCTTGCACCTCTATGGATGCACGTCATGCTCTCACACAATCTCATGTCAACAGGAGGAAAAAATGATAAAATTAATCCCTTCCAGCAGCGTGTGCTGAAAATAATGAGCAGCATATGAAACACTGTTTTTCACATGACTTAAGAAAAACATCCCTTGAGGAGAGAGGGAAGGAGGGAGGTGCTGTCTGTTGTCTAGCGATTTGTTCAGGAAATACCGCTTGTGCATCCAGCCTCAGGTGTGAGTACATGAGCTGGCCATCGGTACGGGGCTGGTGTTCTCAGCGAGCACGGTGCAAACGTGACCAGGGGCTGCACTTGTTGCTCTGGCAGGTGCCCACAGGCCGTGGTTAATGGCAAGCGCTATGGGGCGGCAACTCCAGTGGTTTGATTTGGCAGGAGGGTTTGATTTGTTTTTGTGATATCAGGTGCCAGGGGGTGAGTCAGGCACCTTCAGTGATGCCATGCCCCACTGATGGGGCTTTTTGTTTCTTCGCCCTGCCCTTTAGGGAGGAGCAGGTCACAAGCACAACGCTGTGACGGTGACCTGGCTGCAGAGGGGCTGGGCTCCGGTGAGCACTGGGAAGGGTGTCTGGATGTTTTCACAGGCTGATGGATCTTATGAGTGTAATTTGCTGGCAGAGCCATGCAAAAACGCACTGTGCAGCACGTGGCACAAGGCTGATGAACCTTCTCAGGGCCGCTTTGTGGATGACTCTACTGGTGGCTAATTAGGAAAGGACAGGGAATTGCTTCCCTTCTGTTTCTTTTTAGTAAATACTAGAAGCCAGAACCTGTGGCCAAAAAGCTCTCACTTCTTGCTCCAGGAACATATGCCACAGGGGCTGTGCTCCCTGCCTGTGAAGCTGGGAAGAAGTGGCACGATGTGTCAAGGGAAAGCCTGTTGATGGCGTAGCAGGTGAGGATCTCAGGCTTTCCATAGACACATCTTTGGGCCCCAGCTTTAGGGAGGAAGAATTAGCTCTGCACTGTCCTTTTGACATTCCCTGGTGCTAAGCAGTATCATTTCCCTCTTTCCCAAAAGTCCAGTTTCAAGCTTCAGAGAAAGTAAAGATCTGACCTTGGAGAAACACTGTATTCCCTTCTGCCTGCATCTGAGACAAACCCCTTAACTTGGCTGCCTATCCTGCATTTATCCCCAGGGACTCTCTTCCTCAGAGCTGCAACACCTCTGGCAGAGGTAATGGAGCCCCTGGCACTACCCAACTATTCTGCAGGCAGTAGTTACTAGAAAATACTAGAATAGGTGTCTCAGTTTCCCTTTTTTAAGTTCAAGGATATGGTTAATTTTGTTCCTCTTAAAGGCAGAAGTAAAAGCCTTATCTCCCAATGCATACCTACTAGTACTGTGCTGTTGCCCTAGTGTGTTATCTTCTGACTTGGAAGTATGGAATGAATTTGTATAACACGATCACACATTCAGAATCTGAAAAAAAAAATCTCTGAGTTATAACAACAATGACTCATTTTTTTTTCTTGCAGATGCTTTGTATTTATTGTCTCAGCAAGAATTCAAGACATACATGCATGGGGCATACAACAAAACATCTGGCTTGTATCCAAAACAGACCTTAAAAAAAACAAACTCCTGTTGATAGAGTCATATAGCAGATCCTTTGCAGAAGTAACAAAAGGAATCCTAAGGATTCAGTGCTCACTGGCACCGATAGCTTGGATCTGGGTCTCTTTCCCAAGTTCCCAGTGAATGCCAGCACTCTTGACAATAATGCTCAGGGAAACACAAAAACACAAAAAAGCAAATAGTCTTTGCAGATCTAGACAGAAAAATATACTTCACTAACACTTAACTCAGATATCCCCATGGTGATGCATTTATGGCAATATTTTTTTTCATAGTATTCATGTGTGCGGCAGCCTGAAGAGCTGGGCAGGCTCTATGCGGCCTGCACCTCATTTCCTATCGAATTTTAAGCACAATACATTGAGCAGAACACCTTTATTAAATGTATTTCAGCTACTAATGTGAATGCTAATGTCGAATTTTCGAGAAAGATTCCCAGGCAGGCATGACCATTGTTCAGTGTCCTTGATGAAGGCTCTGAGATTCCACCAAGCCCAGGACATGGAGCGGGAGCCCTCCTGCCGAACTCAGTGCTCTGCCTTTGATGAACAGCTTTGCCAAGCTGCACACGGTGCTAGCCTTGGAGCTGGTGTTTAGCCAAACAGAAACTCTTTGCATTTACTTTTTAATATCTGAAAAAACGACCTCTGTACATGTCAGCAAAACACATTATGTTGCAGTGCTAAGGTGAAAACCAACTATTCTCAAAACATTATGCTTTCACTGAAAAGGTACAAGGTGGCTTAGAGGAAGGAACCATGCATGTTGCCCAAGACAATGGTAAAGCTCCCAGTAATGCCACTGGGATGGGGTGAAGTCCTCCATGAGGTAAGCAGGCAAAGTCAGTCAGCTTCTCCTTAGTGAAACCAGTGACAAGTAACAGCCATACACAGTGGGTTGTGACAGAGTGACCAGAGCTATGTAATGATGACTTTGCAAAGGCAGATTCAGGAGGGCCAACAAAAAGTTACTTATAAATATATAGAAAAATTCTCTACAAGGCAGGAAAAGATCTAACTTGAACAGACCCAAAATTCAGAAAGTGCAACTATACAGCCTTGTACAGTGCAAAGGTGCTTACATACAAAGCTAGCTAAGAAAAGGAACTGACCACTGATGTCAGAAGTAGCTACAAGACATGACCAGCTTCAGCCATTTTCTTGCTAGCCTGCACCCATGAAAAAATACTGTTTGGGACTGTTTCTCATGTGAATTGACTAGTAGAGCTACTATTTTGCCTTGATGGTGATTAGCATGCTTAATTCATCTCCTCCAAAGCCAGCCAGGGGTAATAAGCCCTCAGTGAGATAGATAGATAGATAGATAGATAGATAGATAGATAGATAGATAGATAGATATAATGCATCACCATCCACTGGATGTGCTACAATGGCTGCATCATTACAGAACCGAAATGAGGTTGCCATTAAATTAAGTGGAAATAAAGTATAAGGGAAGAACCTTCACATGCCAATATAGTTAAACATACAGAAATCCAAGGCTGCTTTTTCTGTATTGACTGTAACATTCAATTCTGTTGATATTATTTCTTCAAAGAGAGGTAGTTGCTTTCTTTGAATAAATAACATTCTCAAGAAAACCTGAGATTTAACTTGGGTTCAACTTTCAGATCTACTTCTATTGAGCTATAAAGTTACTTATAAAGACACAGCAGTGTTATACTGTTCTCAAGAAATTCTCTATAATATTGAAAGAATCCTGCCACCCATACCTCAATATCTGTATTTGTGTAATATATATTCATATATGTCTTATATAGTGCTATACAAAAGTATGCTCCCTCTCTGATACATAATGTACTCCTTTACTATCAGACAACATTGTGCTTTCTTCTAGTTTATATAATGTATTTTTATGTTGGCTTATGTCATGTTTTGAACTTTTTTTTTGTCATTGCTTTTTAAGCCAGAACAAGTACCATTCAATTACTAGTTCTGTGAAATACTCATGTTATACAGATAGGGTGCATGTATTTATATTTATATATATAATAGATATGCAAATATATATATAATATAGACTAGAACTATGCAACATCATGTTAATTCATAGAATTCTAATTTTTAGTCCATAAAGCAACATCCTGTAAGAAATAACTTTTCAATTAAGATAGATAGTGGTTTACTTAAATGGAATAATTCCAACACCAGATCCCTGTCCAGCAGAATCCATGCTTTAGAAAACAAGAGCAGTCACAAACAGAGCAACTGGCTTTTGCCTTGCAATATATGATCCAAAGTTCCAAGCCACTGGAACTTTTTTTGCCTTCTTGTACCACAAAACTTCTTTGTGGTACAAGATCCTTGGTGAAAAATAGCTG